TGGTCGCTGGTATGTGAGAATTCGAGAAACCCTAAGATATGTCGAAAATCAGAGGTGTAATTCTCGGAAATCAGTATTTTGGTAAAAAAAAATTATTAGTTTTAGGTTTTTCCTTATTTTTGTCCTACTTTTTCTCACTTTCTATATTGTAATTTTTACAATACGTTTTTATTTTAGAATAAATATGGATTCTTCTTTTTATTCATATATTTGAGGGTGTCCCCATAAAAATTTCAAGGGTGTCCTGTTGTTACAAAAGTTATATACTCTCTAAAAATTCAAAGTAAGGGGTGTCTATGGACACCCTTTGTGTTAAGGTAGTGTCGCCCCTAAAAACAACATTTAGAAATGCATCAGAATCGACTTCAATCACATAGAAACTGAAGGAAAAAAATTGTGGTGGTTTCAAATATACTTAGGACATAGGCAACGGTTTTCACTACGGATAGTGGAGACGGTCGTTGTAGATCGATACTTTTCTTCCTAGTTGTTACTTGCATCTACCTTTTCTATTTGTTTGTTGGTTCTATATGTACTTCTCATTGTGCTCCTTTTGATTTTCTTTTTAGTTTTATTGCTCGTATATGTGTACTTTTGCCTTTGTGAAACTCTACTGATTATTTCTTCTTTGTGGGTTGACGTTTCACTTATAGGTGAATAAAGAAACTCTAGTTAAACGTTTATCTCATGAACTAGGATTTAAAGTCATGAACTAAAACATGGTTATTTGGTACGTATTCTATTATGTAATACTCTTTACAAACACAACGCAAAACAAATCGTAGTGAATGAAATCAAAATTATTAATCTAAGTAATTTCTAACGGTAGGCAAAATAAACTAACAAATAATTACAAAAATGGATAATGACTTGAAAGGGTAATAAACTTTCAACTTTGTTCATATTTAGTCACTGAACTTTTTTTGTGCTTGATTTACCCTTGAATTATTTGACATTGTTCACATTTTACCCTTATGACTGGTTGTTACCGGTCATAAGGGCAAAATGTGAACAATAATTCAAGGGAAAATCAAGCACGAAAAAATTTAGTGACTAAACGTGACCAAAGTTGAAAGTTCTTTACCCTCTCAAGTTATTATCCCAATAATTATTAACTCAAAACTTATTAGATGTAGTAGTTTCATTGTTTTAAGATCATTAGGTCGAAATTATATATTAATGTTTGTTTTTCAAAACACGTGTCTTATTTTTTGATTATTAAAACCTAAGATGTTTAGTATTTAGTATTAACTAGAAATTGTCTTTTTCTCGATTTACGGGGACGCACCGGTAATTTCCACATCACTTTGCGAAACTCATAAGTTTCAATGTCCGCTTTGTGGGTGACATAATCTGTAAATTTTCTATTAGACATAGGCCGTTTTTCTAGTTTTTTTAAACACATAGACCATTTGTTGTTAAAAAAAACTCTGCACAAGAACTTTTATTGTAAATTATAGGGACAATTTTGTAATTTATTTTCTACAAAGTGACCAAACCTGTCAACATACAAAAGTCTTGTGACTAAAGTCTCAAACCCAAAAATATACTATTTAAATATATTGACCATTTCTTTTAAAAAAACTACACATAGACATTTTCTATAAATTATATGAACAACTTTTGTAATATTTTCTAAACATGGACCAAACCTATCACGATACGAAAATATTGTGGCCAAATTAAGTTTAAAACACAAAACTGTATTATTCATATACCAGTTGCTTTTTATTTTATATAATAATGTATTCTTTTTCTAAATGATTCAATTTTAAATCTAGTAAAAGTTAAAAAAAACATCAAAAAACATAGGCGGATCATTGATCCCTCGTATACAATTACATTTTTTCTACTATATTTACTTGAAAAGCAAAAAAGAAAATAGTAAAAGGTAATAAAAACGGTTGAGACATAATACTATCAAACAAATTAGTGCCATTTTATAGATGCCTATGATTAAAAAGTGTCGAATTTATATCATCCATTAACCCATATGAATATCAACCTCAAACCCTTTTTTCTAAAATACTCTAATCCGTAAATGATTACACCTAACAAATACACTTTTCAGCAAAAGAGAAACCTATAAATGAACATTAGAACAGGCACAGAAGACCAACTCGTTGCCATATAGAGATCACCAAAGGGCAAGTAGCAAAAAGATGGTCCAAAATCTATGCAATGCCTTCACAAATAGGGCATATAAGTGAATCCACATCCACTCCATACACATACAAATTTACCCTTGCTGGAAATATGTTAATATCAAAACACCAACCCAAAGTATTTACTTTATAGGTTTAAACTTATTCTACCAAGTCGGTTGACCACACATATTGAAGGTACAAACATTAATTAGATGTCTTGCAGAAGCAAATAAAAACTCCAGAGTCAAGATCCCAAACTCACTCACTACCTACCATTGATTGAATGGAAGCTCTAACGGCTCCTTGAAGCTCATGCAATTGCAATATCTCAACCCCATCTTGGTTTTCCTCGCCATTTCCATATCCACGCCCATTACCGATTTAAGCACTCACTCTACACTCTTTATTCACAAAAGAAGCATAAAGTTTTAGAAATCTATGACGAAACTACGATGCTCATAACCAAATTTCTTCCCAAAAAGGTAGAATCGTCATTGTCAACCTTTTAATGAAAGTATACCTCGAAATTGATTCATTTATATTAAAGGTTTTTAAAGAGACAACAATGTTACTCGAGACACTTTTAATTTTCCAAAAACCTATAAATTTATATTAAAGTTGTTTAAAGAGACAACAATATATAGGCATTGATGGCAAACCTTTAGCAAAATGTAGTATTCCCTACTTGGCTTTCGATTTCTAAAACTAAAGAGGAGCCAGGAATAGAACATTTCATTTGACAACCTTCTTGTAAGGAAGATTGGGGATGGAGACAATACGTATTGCATAAAAAACACGACACCAACCCCACAGAGTTAAAAACCTCAACCACATGAAACTGAACCGTATAAAATAACTGCATAACCTCACTGCTACATTAACCGCACAGCCATTCGGTTTCTAAAATTTAATAACCCTCTTCCGCCTAGTTAGGCCGAAGGGTGCATGCGGGAAGCTTTTCCTCACTTTTTGCATGCCACATCATCTTTTCCTCCACTTTTCTTTCCCTCACCAAAAGCCAGAGTGTGTGTGGGAAGCTTCCTTCATTTTTTTTATAAATAAAAATAATTGATTTTTATGATTTATAATTATTTTTAAATGAGTAATAAACATAAAATTAATTAAAAATAAAAACCACTACATTAATTGAAATAAAAATTACATAAAAAATCTAAGATTTAAATAATTAGAAAAAAAAACAAACAAACAACCTACATAAAATATTTTTGCATAATCCGCTCATTTCTTCAAAACGAGCTCTAAAGACCGTCCCTAAAGATGGTCGGTGTTTTCCATCAAGAACCTCATATCCTCCATTTCTCGTTTCTTTGCGCGTTCTTTCTTTCTTGCTTATTCTTTTTCTTTGTTGAACGCCAAACGTTCAAAGAAATTAAGATTATATCGATCAAACGTCTCTGTCATTTTCCGCATTTCGTCCGCGTCCATGCTAAAATCTGATGCACCCAAAGAATTCCTCTTTCCCTTCCTTTTTGCTTTGTCCCTACCCATCGGTGTGACACTTTCTTCTAGCTCGAGTTCGTCCTCCTCATTTATATCTAGACTGACCCGAGCATCGGAGGAAGTTGTGTAACCACTAGAACCCATTTTTTTCGCTTTGATTGTTGTACTGCAAGCATAAAGTTTTACTCTTATTTTTTCCACCTATGACTTTTAATCAATATTTTCCAACAATCATGCCACTTGAATGACTTTCTCACTTCCTCTAGATAAAAATGAAAAACTTCCTGAAGTATTTCTTCATCTCTTTGGCCGCTTTTCCGTTGGGCTTTTAGGTTGTTGTACAACTCGTTCATTTTTTAAACGACTTTCACTATTTCTTGAAACTTTGAATGCAACTGATGATTGGTACGGTACTCGTCGCCTTTTCTCATCTCCTTGCGAAACCTCTCAAGAATGCGAAACCAAAAATGATCATCCAGTTATGCATTTCACGTTGCCGAATCCTCTGAAATGTTAACCCAAGCTTTTACCACAATTATCTCTTATTGTGGAGTCTATGCTTGCAGCTTCTGTCTTCCCGGTTATGTGACACCCTCCTTCACTTGTTTTCCTTTGCGGCATTAGGGGGTGGTGTGGTTGAGTTTCCCGTACAATCTCTTCATCCGACTCATCAAAGATTTGGTATTGTAGTTGAGATTGAGAGGGTTGTGTTTGGGTTTGGGTTTGCGATTGAAAGAGTGGGATTTTAGTTTGGGGTTGATTCGGTGAAAGTTGATCGAGAAAAACAACAAAGTTTGATAACATATTTGGAGTAACATTTGGAACTCGCACCAGGTCAAATTGCATAACATTTTGGTATTGAAATTGTAGTGGAGATTGAAGGGTAGCATCGAGTTGTGGACGATAAACCCCTTGAGATGAATCGATAGCGAAAATGTTTCGAGTTCGGATGCTTGAACTCGAAACATTGGTTTTTTTCTTTCTATCGGAATTTGGGGTTTGGTTGTCGGGGTTCATTTTTTTTGAAGAAAGTAGATAGAAATTGATAGGAGGTGTGAGTTTGAAAGTTAAAGTATATGTATATTTATAGATGTTGTATAGGGTAAAAAAAATTAAAAACTCAATTTTTGGACATGTAGCCGTTAAGTAAAAAAATTTAATTTTTTTGTTTATTACCGTTTTTCAACAGTTGGATTGGGAAAAAAAATTAACTTTTTTATTTATTACCATTTTTCAACGGTTCAATTGGAAAATAAAAACAAAAATTCGGCCAATAATAGAAAGAGAGATTGCGGCAACCCCTCCCCGCACCGGCGTTCCCGCACTCCCGGTGCGGTGTTCCGTTGAGCGGAAAAGGGTCCCGCTGCCCTTCCCCCGGCGCTTCGTCGGATTTTACAACACACACCCTTCCCTCTGCATGCAATTTATGTAGAGTATTTTTTTATTAAATCTTCAAATTTACCGATATGACAACTAAATTGTATATAAATAAAAAACCAACTCGTAAGTAAATTGCTTCAATTTTCATCCTTAAAATAACCAAAAGAATCTATAAAAAAAATCTAAAGCTTGATTTTTTTTATTTAATGCACCACTTGGTTCATTTTTTTCAACACGACAATAGAAAATACTTATTTCTTAAAACTACTAAATATTTTAAAATATAAATCTAATTTAATTAGTAGTTCTTGAGTTCTTGGTATATTGTTTTCATAAAGATACTAATAAATATATAATAAAAACAAAAATGCTCGCATGCATAAACCAATTAAAAATATAACAACATAATCATTCAAAACAGCACGCACAAACCTACGGTCAAGTAAAGTGGAGCTATGTGTTACCATGTCCATGAGCACTACTATACTCCACTCCTTTAATTTCTTATATGTTTTCGACTTTTTCTTAAACCCTTAAAAACTATATTCATTAATACATTTTTTATAATTAATTAAGTACAAAATATTTGAAAAGTATATTCAAATGTACGTAGAGAAAAAATGAAGAGGGGTTTTCACGAATTAATAAAATTTGTACTATGCAAGATAAGGTACATATACAAATGAGTACACAAAATAATGCACATAGTACAAGCAGAGGAAGCAGGATTCTGAAAAAAGAAAATAGAGTTGTAATATGTAAAATACATATGTGGCTAGGTTGAAAGGACACATGAGGAAGGGAAACACATGCATGCACTTTATTTGTGTAAGAGTGTGATATAAGTGCATGGTGGATTGGTGGTTGTATGTTATAATTATTGGAATTAAACACTATCCTATTCAATTAATTCAGGGCCCTCGATCAACTTCTATTTTTGCTACAATTTTAATCATCATAACAACAAAGATCCAAAATATATATTCTATTTTTACTTTAATCGAATCTAATTGTAATAATATGCACAACCAAATGAATAAGATTATCTAATTAATCACTAATTAAGGGTTAGTATTGATTTGTGTAAATTTGTACAAAATTGGAAGACAAACAACTACAATCAAACATAATTTAAGCTTAGTGGCTAGTTTATATATTTTCAAAAACCTAAGTTTGTGAAAACTCTATAAGGTGTTCTTCAAATTCTATGACTTAAACCCTAGCGTGAATCAAGCGAAGAGAATGGGAACAAGGGGAAGAAACTGATTGTTATATAAACATGAAATCCGAGGAGATTTGGATAAGAAGCTAGAAATATTATTAATTTAACCTAATTTCATCCATGGATCATCCTCGTGATCTTCAGGTTTTCAATCGGAGGAACAAAACTGAAGCTATATCCGATGTCGACGATCAAGAGCGTTGATCGATCGTGTAAGTGTCAGTTTAAGATTTCCGATTACAATGATAAACAATCGTCAATAGATATCTAAATAGAATGATTTAATAATTAAAATAATGCGTAAGAGCCTATACATATAACTCAACACATCCTTGATTCAGAATCTATTAAAAGTAAGATAAGTTAACAATAGATTCTGAATCACCAACCTCTCGTAAATCTATATGCTATATCTGATACAATCAAAGGATGTATATATACGAAGAGTAACCTGCTTATGATATGATGAATATTCTACAAATAATCTCCTTGCAGGTTGCTCTAGAACTTTCGTTTGTTATGCAGTGGATTTGAACCTGTGGGAACTCTTCGCTTCTCAGATCTAATAAGATCTGTGGAATCTGCAGGCGGCATAGTTGTAGTAGAGGGAAGAAAGAGCTGTTCTGTTGCGTGCAAATGGCCGGGAAAGGCTGCCGGAGGTAGGGCCTTGAATCGTGAAGATGAAGTGATGGCGGAGCTATAGGTAGCAAAAAGGAGGAAGAGGAAAGAGAGAATGATGTGAAAGCGTATCATGGTTTTGAAGAAATGAGGAATGTAAAATGCGGGCTTTGCCTAACACCAAAGATGGAAAGGTAGGTGTAGTGACTTTGAAACCCCCACTTTTATACATGCAAATTGTAGGTTGCTCAAGTTTTTAGTTTTATTTATTTATTTTATATTTTAAAAATATATACAAATGATATCGAATTATATGTAAAGTTTAAATAGGTTATTGAACCAAAATTAATCAAACCGTGCACACAATTAAATATTGTAAGCATGCTTATGTACACAAAAATCTTTTCCTTTCCAGAGTCTGTCTAACGGTTGAGGTTTGAAATTTCATAATCTAGAGGTCCAATCTTAACATGCAAAAAATATTAAAAGTACTTTGTGATTTACTACCACATTAGGAGCTCAAAAACGAGTTCCGTGTGAGATGTCAGATGCCAAAATGATATGATTTACTATTTTTCTAACATGGAAATGTGGTAAAGATGGCGGAGATATATCTTATTTAATATATGTTTGTTTAAACCATGCATACTTCCACATTCATGTACATATCTTTTACCTACTTGGTAGGAGATCCATGTTGGTGATTTTAGTTGCACCTGGTCATTTTAGTGTAATGAAATTTACATATTACCAACAGAGTTCAAGTCTTGAATTTAGACAAGCTAGGAGATACGGAGTGTACGCTTGTATAAAAGGAGTTTGATCTCGGTTCGACCAAATAGCGGGGGTCAAAGGGGTTGCTCCCCCTTGTGGGGTCCTATGGGTAAAGCCTCTTGTGGGGTCCAAGGGCAACATTTAATGTTGATTTAATCTTATCCTTGGTAATCATATAATTTGAAAGGCTATAAAACCATAGTTCGTGGTATCATATTAGTGCCTTGATACGAAACTGTTCATTGAAGGGTTCTCTTCATGATCTAGATTTCGTGTAAGCTAAGCATGGGGTCGAAATATCATATTCGGAAAGTGATCACACGATGCATCCTTTAAGCAGATCAAGTTTTATCTTCAATTTCAGAAACCTTCTTCTCATCCTCCACACCCTAACAATCCATGCCTAAAACCTCGAGGGGAAAAGAAAAATCATGCAATGCTTAGGGAGTTTTATCTTCAAGGTTTATCTTCAATTTCAAAAAAAAAATCATGCAACTCATGCCCTAAAACCTCGAGGGGAAAAGAAAAATCATGCAAGTTTTATCTTTAATTTAAGAAACCTTCTTCTCATCCTCCAAACCCTAACAATCCATGCCTAAAACCTCGAGGGGAAAAGAAAAATCATGCAATGCTTAAAGGTTTAACAAATCGAATCATTAAACCTTTAGGGCGTAGTATGATTGGTTTTTAGGGAGTATACTTGTATAAAATGTCACATATTTTAATACGAGGAGTTGTAAGGTGAGAGTTCTAATTAATTCATATATGGATCGAGTAATTTTGAGCACCGAACCCTTTTATGAAGTAGCCACCTAATGAACAATTATGTATTATATGAGATATGTATTTGATTTATATCTCATAAGGTCGTTATGGAAGGGAAGAATGTATGTTAGTTTTGGGGAACGGTAAAAGAAAAAATAGTTTTTGGTTAATAACTTTTTGACATTAAATAACTTAATTACATGATAGTCATTTCATCATACCGACAACAATCATAGATTAATATGTGCTAATTTATCTCATACTCATACATACATCATGGTTCAATATGTCTCTATATATGTTGAAAATTTTCTATTTCCACAAGTGTTATAATCTAATTATATATATATATATATATATATATATATATATATATATATATATATATATATATATATATATATATATATATAACAATGTAAGGAAACATAATCACAAATTAAGCAAACACTCTCTTTGATCGCTTTTTAGTTCAAAGATAGCCTTCCTACATATATTCAAATCAGTACAAAGGCAAGTATATATTCTATTTTGAGGGAAAAATAAAAAGAAAAGATGGACTATGCCACATGGCCGCTACAAATAAAGGAAAAGTCTTATGCGAGTGATACCAATCGGACACACTTGGAAAAAAGGAATCATCAGCTACTAATACAGCTGAATCAAAGGAAAAGAAGTGAAAAAGCGGAAATAAGTTAATGTGAGAAAGCAAAAAAGGTAACGAGGCGACCGGCGGAGGGAGAAAGGATAAAAGGGGTGGCAAGCAACTCGAAGGGATGCTGCGCCACCTAGGTACGCGTCTGGATCTGCCTCAGGCTTTGTCTTTGTTTCTATAGGATCTGCTACTCCAACCGTATCTACTTGTGGTGTACCTGGGTTGGTTTGGCCTCTTCCATAATCCTTGCCGCTTATGGTTATGGGTAAATCACAGTAAAGCAGAAAGGAAAGCCTCCCGAAGAACGTTTTCGTCGCCGAGAGAGAAGTCTCTAAAGCCGCTATGGTCTGGGCTCTCACTCACGTCGTCCGCCCCCATTACGCTGCTCGCACTATTAGCTGGCGGAAACCATGAGAATTTACAGAAAATTTTATGCATAGTTCGGTAACTTTCATACGTATTTATTTGTAAATATCCTTAAATACACCATTGTGAATTTAATTTTAAATTAACATATCAAGTAAAAGAATATTAATCATATCAATTACCGTAGTCTTGAAATTGTGTGAAATCAAACATTTAGGTTTAAAATATCCGCAACACGCGTTTGGTCAAATTAATATGATAAAGTGGAATTCCGACCAAGTGAGGACGACATGAGACGGTTGTTGAAGGTGGTGGGAGGTGGCGGTGACGTTGTAGGTATTGAAAAAAAGACACCGAGTGCCTAATATTAATTTGACTTTTGAAAACTCCTCTAAATGGAAACTAGACAATGGGTTCCACACACGAGGGTATAATCGTTATTAAATTAATATTTAAAGTCAAAATGCCGACGCACTCAATTAGATGGTTGAAGCTCTATAAATTTGAAGCAACGCGTATGGCGCTCCTCACATCCGAACAGCATTTATTTTGACTTTCATCGGTGGAAGTGGTTTGATTTCGACTTTTCACCTTTTTAAATTCCTCTTTCATTTTTACCCAAAACTAATTAATAGACATTTTTGTATATTTATTGGTGTTACCAACGACGTGACACCATATGACAGAAAATAACGAAAGGTCTAATAATTACAAGTATATGCCATAAAATATGTTGGTGGAATAGGTACGAAAACAAGTCGACATAATTTATTTTTTTAATATGGATTAAAATAGATTAGATCGAATTAATTGACGTACTAATCTCTATACTTCATAGAATTTATTGTATCAAATATGATAAGAGGTCAAAAGGCATTCTTGCTCAAGAATGTGAAGACGATGTTTTTTTGGCCTTGTTCAAGAATGTCGGAATAGATAAGGATTGTCTAGTTATTGATTGGGTGATGAGTGGCCGTGGAACTGTCATAGAATGGTTCGAGGAGTGGAGTAAGCAAATCAACTCACGAGGATTCTTCTTTAAATCGAAGATGTTTATTCCGTTGATCAATGTGAAAAATGGATTTGGGATACTGATAGCTTTGTTAGTGTGTAGACTATAGATTTAGGGTTCTAAACATCCTTAGGGTTTAAGTATTCTCTATAGTAACTAACTATTATTAGAGTAATAAAACAAATTACTATCTATCCTCATACTAGAGCTTTAAGTTAAACCATCTGCGCGCAGACCATAACTCTTGGTCGTTGACCTCCACATCTGACGACCTTTTGTAGTCGTCGGATTCCATGTCCAATTTTTCCCCTTCTCAAATTTTCTCATCTTTCTCATCCTAAAGAAAACTCTAACTACTTTCGGCCTCGACTTCGCCAGAGAATCAATCCTTCCTCACCACCGCTATATCTAGTTCTAACCCCTAAAGCCATCGCCACCGCCGCATGTATATCTAGTGCTTGTGTCCAGTTTAGTTTAGTTTTTTATTTTATTTTATTTTATTTTTTTAATCTCCGTCGGCCATCTTTTGCCCATAAAATCCAATATAATAAATATCTTTGGAACCCTACCAGTTTCCGACACCGACTTCACTGGAGCTCTAGTTTCTGCAATTTTATCTTCATGTATGTTTCATGTCTCCTCCTAATCAAATTTTAGGGATTGGGGGGGGGGGGGTGTTAGTGTAGGATTAGAGTTTATGTATTTTATTTAATAGTCATTTGAGTGATCAAAGAAGTTATTATCTATCAAACTTTTAGGAGTTCATGTCTAATGTCACGAGAAAGTGTTTTGATAATTATTTGTTGCCAGTAGCAAGTCGTACGACTAGATAAAATTGTTTTGTTCTTAAGATAATAAATATTTTTATTTCGAGAGCGTAGGTGAATAGACTCCCTAGTAGGTCCAATGTAAAGTATAAAGGCATTGATGTCCCTTCGGTTCTTTGTCCGGTTTGTAAAGATAATATAGAAGCTTTTGATCTTTTTTTGTGAGGCTTGATTTGTAGGTCTTGGCATTTGGTTTGTTTTTGGAAATGATCCCGTGGATATACTCGATTCAGCTTTTTAGTCATAAAAAATAATTATCGAGGTGGTTTCATTCACAACTTGTTGGGGGAGGTATGACGTTTTATAAATCTTATTGTCTTTGTTGACAAAAAGCATAGAAAAGAAACAATTGTTGAGTCTATTAAAGAAATGTTGTATTTATGGTTTGAAAAAAAGACTTGTCATTACTTGGGTGTTTTGGGCTTAAAACTTAGCTAACACTCCTCATGTAATTTTTGTTTCTGACATAATGTTTTGCTACCATCGATCCCTCCCCTCCCCCCCCCCCCCCCCCCAATTATCTATCTCCAACCCGACCACCTAATCCACCATCGATCTCCTCTTTCTCCTAAATTCCGGCGACGTCTTCTAAATTTGAATATGCTCTCTCTATTGTCTTTCTCTCGCCTACCATCAAAACCCTTGTTAACAAAAGTGGTTGTATGGTGGAGTTTGTAACACCCAAGGGATCATGTGTGGGTCTAGGGTCATGCAGTACAAATGTAGTCTAACACCC